GAAGTACATTATTATAGATCTATCAAAGCATTCAAGCCACAAAGTAGATTATAGGGTATGCTGCTGCTTATGAAACTGAGGCATCTCACAAAAAAAAAAAAAACCCAAAACATTAAGCTAAGCTATTCTTCCCACTGTCTCATAACAGCTTGTCATTCTACAACTAATGTGGAAATATAGCATTGCAAGGTTTATGAAATATATATATTTTTATTGATTCTATGCTTTCAAGTTCAAGCTTACATTTTCCATTCAGGAATAAATAATTTATGGAATTAATTTTTCATTATAACTTTCTCACAGCTGCTGAATTAGGAATGTTCTGACACTAAACATGAATGTAAATTGAACATATTTCTGTGTAGGAAATCTAGGGGATAGTGAATCATAGAGTTGAGCTGTTACAGAGTTGCCAAATATATCTGTGTAGTAAGTTTCAATATATTTGAGCCTGAATTGTGTAGACAACCTTTAAAAGCACAAGCACAATGCAAACAGCCTTATTTATTCTGTTAATAAATGGAATCACGGTAATACATAAGCCTCCCAAATGAAAACTCATTAGAAGGGTTAGCTGCTAAACATTTATTTCTGAGACAAATTAGTTAGCCTGAACCCAGAAGACCAAAGCCTGAAATAAATTAGTTCAAGCCTAACAGTAATAATAATAAGGCTAAGAATTTCAATAAAAATAGAAGACCCATTGGGACTGTTCACATTATGGCTTCTACCATTCAATGAAGTCTGATATATTATCATTGAAACACAAACTAGAAGGTGGTTTATATGTCAGGGTGAATGATACTTCCAAATTTAATTAGATTTATTAGTGCTTATCAGGTACCAGACATTGTTCTAGGTGCTAGAGATTCATCAGTGAACAAAACAGCCAAAGTCCATGCTCTTGGGGAGTTTATGTTCTAGTGAGAGAAGAAAGGCTATAAATAAAAAACATAATATGTAATATGTTAGAAGATAGCAAATGACATGGAAAACAAATAAACAAACCCAGCAAGTTAAGAGGGACCAGGAGTGGTTCTAATTTTAAATGAGGAAGGCAAGGTGGGCTTTATTGGGAAGATGACAGCTGAGCTATGTAAGATTTGAAGGAGGGGAGAGAGAGTGAACTATGAATATATCCGGGAGGAGAGCACCTTAGAGGAACTGATTCAAAGCCCTGAGACAGAAGTATGCCTGGAGATATGAGGACAGTAAGGTCTGGAACAGAATGTGTCTGGAACAGAAAAAGTAAATTAGATGGGACGCCTGGGTGGCTTAGTCGGTTAAGCGTCCGACTTTCACTTGGGTCATGATCTCGCGGTTCCTGGGTTTGAGCCCCACATCGGGCTCTGTGCTGACTGCCAGCTCAGAGCCTGGAGCCTGTTTCAGTCTGTGACTCCCTCTCTCTCTGACCCTCCCCTGCTCACGCTGTCTCTCTCTCTCCTAGAAATAAATAAAAACATTAAAAAAAAAAAAAAAGAAAAAGTAAATTAGAAAAATTGTAGTAGGAGGGGTTTAGATAGGTAATAGGATAACTGACTCACTTAGGCCACTGTAGGTTATCAGAAGGACTTAAGCTTTAATTCTGACTTCTATTTTAATAAGATTACCCTGGTTGCTATGTTGAAAAAGGACTGGAAGAGGCAAGAAATAAATAGGGAGATCTGTTAGGAAGTGACTGCAATAATCCAGGTGATGGGTAATGGTGGTTCTAGGGAAGTGGTGAGCCTATGGATATAATTGGAATGTACAGGCCATAAGATTCCTGATTGATGGGTATTTATATTTAACAACAAGAAATGTGTGAATTATTCACTGAGATGGAGAAGACTATGGGTGGTATAAGTCTGCAGAGGGATATTAATTCAGTTTTAGAAGTGTGAAATTAAAATGGAAATATTTTAGTGGAAATATTTAATAGGAAGCTTCTTATACCCGCTGGAGTCCAGAGTAAAGGCTAAAGATGGAGATACAAACTTGGAATCTGTCAGCATATGGTTTATATCTAAAGCCATGAATTGATGAGATCACCAAGGGAGTGAATATAGCCAGAGAAGAAAAGAGGTCCAAGAACTGTATTTGGGGTGCTCCTAAGAAGTTGGGTATTAAAAAAAAGTAAAGGTTGTTGAAAAGTGGCCAGTGAGGTACAGAAAAACCATGGTATGGGGTAAGAAGTACTTCCAAGAGGAGAAAGTGGTCAACTGTAACAAATGCCGTTGATTAAGTAAAATTAGTATTGAAAATTGCTCGGGATTTAACATGACAAGAGCAATTTCTGTGGCATGGTGGAAATGAAAAAGCCAGCCTCCTTGTAGTAAGTTTAAGAATTAGAGAACAGTTTGGCTCAGATCATCATCTTGTGCTCTGTGACTTCAAGCCCTGAGTTGGGCTCTGTGTTGACAGCTTGGAGCCTGGAGCCTGCTTCAGATTCTGTGTTTCCCTCTCTCTCTGCCCCTCCTCTGTTCCCACTCTTTCTCCCTTAAAAATAAATAAAGATTTAAAAAAATGAATTGGAGAAGAGGCATTAGAAACAGAAATTGTAGACAACCCTTTTGAGTTTTACTATAAAAGAGAGTAGGTGACTGGATGGTTAGCTGGAATGCAGAGAGGGAACAAGAGATTTTAAGATGGGAGAAATAATGGCATATTCATTTCTTAATGGGAATGGTCCAGTGGAGAAGAGAAAACTGATGTTGTGAGAGAGACAGGAGAAAATTGTTGGAACTATGTTCTTGAGTAAGCAAGAAGAAATGAGATCTAGCATCCATCTGCAGGGTTGACCTTATTTAAAAGCATGCATGGTTGACCTACCATGACTGGGAGGAAAGCAAAATCTGTGGGTAGAGATCATGATAGTTGGGCAGGTGTGCTTATAGGCCTCAGTGGAAAGTTAACTTTTGGATGCTTTCATTTCTCTCATTAAAATAGTAAGGAAGACCTTCAGCTGAAAGTGAGGATGAGGAAAATGTGCTAGAAATTTAAAGAAAGGAGAAGGCATGAAACAGTTATCTAGGAGAGTGAGAGAAAGAATAGACTGGGCAGATACTGTATAGGTGCCAGATAACATTAAGGGAACATTTGAATAACGATAGCATGTTAAACATATTGAGTGCTTGTTTTAGGCACTGCTTTAGAAGGCTTACATACATTGGTCTATGAACTAGCACAATTATTATTCTTAGTTTAAGAAAACTGAGAAGTTGTCACTTATCTGTGTTCACATAGCTATGTTAATGGTGGAGGCATGATAGGGAAGCCAGGCTCTTTGACTCTAGAGACGAGGCTGTTTTTCTACACAATCAAATATTTGTTGATTGAAAAAATGAAGGATAAATTAAGGGAAGGAAGGATGAACTATCAATGCTATCTCCACAGTCTGTGGCTTTCTGCTAAGTCATTTTTATACTTATGTAACCTAAATGACATTTTCCAGATCTTATAACTGAGTCTTTGTGCAGAGGTGGAGCTGTAGAGGTAGGGATGTGGCCCAGACATCTGATTTAGGCTTGAATCTCAGCTCTTTTTTTTTTATTATTAGCTATATCATTTTGGCCAACTAAATCACTTTGAGCCCTAGTTCTCTCATCTTTAAAATAAGAATAACATATACTTTATAGCATTTATGGAGAAGATAAATATAATCATGTATGCAAACTATCTGGTATAGTACTTGGTACAAAGTAGGTTTTCAATAAGATTAGTTTTCTTTTCCCTCCCTGTTCTGGTTCCAGTTGCCCAGAACTTCAGTACTCTCCCCAGAATGGACCCTTCTTTGCACTTGCTAGTTTCACTACCAGAACTAGAGTCTCTGCTCTCACTCCAGCTGAGTCTCCTTGTAGTATCACAGGTAGGAAGAGAAAAGGCTATCCTGCACTCTTGTTGAGATCCTCTGTGGTTTAATCGTGCATGTCTCTCCTACCCCTTTGCAATCAGTCAGTTAGAAACATAAGGACCTTCCAAGGAGGGTCCTCTGGCAACCTAACCTTCCTGCCCACATCAGCAGCTGAGTCAATTCCTTGAGTTCCCAAATCCACAGCTGTGGCTGGAGTTAGATCTTGATTCATCTGACCTGCCCTATCCTGGCTTTAACTGTCCAACAGGAGCACCAAAGAGTGCCACTAATTTTAATAATATCAGATATACAAGTCAAAATTTACAAAGTAGTTAAGTTTAGGGAATAATGAATCTATATTACAAGGGTGCTCCAAAGGATTTTTTTCTGGAGCACTGTTTTTCTTTCCGGCAATACATACTTCACTAAGAAAGACATAAATAGTTTTGCATCCTAACCATTAAGCTCTAGACAAGTGGTGGCTTTGTCTTTCTCAACTTTTACAATTGTGAACACCAGCGCTTAATAACTTGCTAAGCTTCACTTAGGTTGAAAACAATGAATTCTGAAAGAGGAAACATACAGGCTTCTTCTATATGTTATAGTTACAGCTACTAATGAAAAAGCATTTTTTCATAATTTGGATTAACCTGAGGCTACTGTGACCTTATGTTGTCAATAATAAGAGTAAAAGAGAATTGAGCCTAAATTTTAGGAAACTGTGAAAACTTAATTCCAGGCAAGTAAGTCAAACGGAAAAAATAACTAAAAAACAAACAAAAAACCCTTCCTTTCTCCTAACCACTTTCAGGCTCCTTCAGATCTTGCCATTTAAAGATCAGGAAGGCGATGGGGCACCTGGCTGGCTCAGTTGGTTGAGCATCCAACTTTGGCTCAGGTTATGATCTCACAGCTTGTGGTTCGAGCCTCGCATCAGGCTCTGTGCTGACAGCTCAGAGCCTGGAGTCTGCTTCAGATTCTGTGTCTGCCTTTCCCTCTGCCTCTCCCCAGATCGCACTCTGTCTCTCTCCCTTTTTCAGAAATAGATAAACGTCTAAAAAAAATTTTTTTTTTTAAAAACCCAAGACTTTCCTTTAAAAAAAAGATCAGGAAGGCGGGGCCGAAGTTAGCAAGGTCTGCGGCTGCGCAGAAACGCGCGCGAGGGGAGAGCAAGCCCTGCGGCCGGGGCAGCCACCGCCGCGTCTGTGCGTCTCTGCTCTGTGGCCCTGCTTCTCGCTACTCTTGGAACGTTCTGGAAGTTTGGGAGGTGACGTGGCACCACTGACCTGCTGGTCGGGTAGGTGTGTTTACGGCTACTGAGGACCAGGCTCTTCACGTTTTTCTTCATTCTTGTGCCGGGGTGTTTTTTTTCCTCAGACTTGCCGGATCCAATCTTTACCTCAGAGATTTGGCGCGGTGAGAAAGGCTCCTCCCCACCCTTTCTTCCGTTGAGAGTCACATGGAACAGGGCTTCCTCAAGTTTTTCCTGTAGGATTGTAGAAGTGCTTCCTTTTCGGGAGCCTTGTCAAGCGTGCGGATTTATATTTACTTTAGGTGTTGTTTTAACCTGCCCCTTCTGGGTCAGGGCGGAAAAGACTCGTGAGGATGGAAGCCGCCCTGAACGCGGTGGTCCAGACTCTCACGTGTCACTTGAGGAGACTGAGCGGGAACGCGATTTACGCGAGATGTTTGTGCAGTGTTAAACTGATTTGAATTTGAAAACTGGGGGAAAGCAAACAAAATCCCAACAGTCCAGAATACTAGGGACTTGGAACGGGGTATAAGAGGGTGCGAGCTTTTTATTTTCGGCTGAGGAAGCGGGCCGACTGGAGGTGAAGGATCTGCCCAGAGATCGAGCTGTGGAGCGGATGAGGCCCCGCGGGGCCGCTCGCCCGGGGGCGCCCTCCCCCGCCCCCGCCCCCGCCCCCAGCCAGGAGCCTTGCTGCTGCAGCCCTAGTTGTGGGCCTCGTTTCTAGTCGCGAATTGCACACTCGTGGGGATCTGCTGACCCCAGTTCCTCTCTCACTTATTGTAAGTGCACAAAATTACTAAAGCTCTCATAGCTTTACTTAAATTGTTTATAAAACCTGCAATAAGGGTTGGAGAATTGAATATTATCAGGAGGATGGTCATTAGCTACGCAGTAAATTGTACCGGAGGGGTGATGGAAGTTGCGGCCCTTCCTTTAACCAACTATTTCCTCATTCAAAAACAAGTTATTTTTTGAGTGTCTGTTGTCTACCAGGTGCTGGAGATATAGTACTCTTGGTGCAATAACTGAGGAAATTATAGAACATTTCGTTTCAACCCAGCAGGAAGAACTTTCTAATTATTAGAGAGTCACTCAAAAGTAGAATGGAACCGCCTTAGGAGAGCACTAACTCACCGGAACTGAAAGAGATTTTCATCTGGATTCGTTGGTTTCTAAGTTTTGCTTTGAACTAATTGTATATTAAGTAACATGAAAAAGTAGACATTTGGTTGAGGTTAAGGTGCTTAGGATTTAGGGGCTCACTTGGTTAAGCGTGGACTTAGCTCAGGTCATGATCTCACAGTCCTGGAGTTCGAGCCTGGCGTCAGACAGCTCAGAGCCTGGATCCTGCTTCAGATTCTGTGTCTCCCTCTCTCTCTGGCCCTTCCCTGTTCGCACAGTGTCTCTCTCAAAATAAAAACATTAAAAAAATTTTTTTTTAAAGATGCTTATTTATAATTTAGGGAAAATGAAATCTGTTTATAAATAAGTTTGTTGAGGGGCGCCTGGGTGGCTGAGTTGATGGAGCGTCCGACTTTGGCTTAGGTCATGATCTCACAGTTTGTGGGTTGAGCCTCCCCTCTGGCTCTGTGCTGACAGCTCGGATCCTGGAGCCTGCCTCGGATTCTGTGTCTCCCTCTCTCTGCGCCCCTCCTCTGCTCATGCTCTGTCTTTCAAAAATAAATGTTTAAAACATTTTTTTTAAATAACTAAGTTTGTTGGGCAAAATGTGATAGGTGCTCAACAGAGGTGTTGTAAGGTGGATTCTGAGGAAGGAGAGGTCTCATTTAAGTTTGAGGGGCTCAGGGATAGTTTTTTGCCCGAAGCAGGTTTTCTAGTGAAAACCTTTGAAAGAGAAGTAGTTTTTATTTTTTATGGTAGACATTATTTTTTAGAATAGTTTTAGATTTACAGAAAAATTGGGGAGAAAGCCCAGAGTATTCCCACATACTGTTTATTTAGTTTCCCCTATTACTAACGTTTTGTATTATTATGGTACATTTGTCACAATTAATGAGCCAATATTATTACCTTATTATTAATTGAAGTTTATTCCGATTTTATTATTAAAGTTTTTAACTTAATGTACTTTTTTTTTTTTTTCCTGTTCCAGGATTCCAGTCACTATACCACATCACATTTAATTTTAATGTTTTCTTAGGTTCCTCTTGGATTTGACAGTTTCTCAGACCTTTGTTTTTGATAACCTTGATGGCTTTGAAGAGTACTGGTCAGGTGTTTTGTAGGATGCTCAACTACTGGAATTTGTTTGGTGTGTTTCTCATGTTAGGACTAAGATTATAGATTATGGAGAGGAAGGTTACATCATCATCGATACATACTATCAGTGTGATTTATGACTATTAATGTAGACTTTGACCACCTGGCCAAGGTAGTACCTATCATGTTTCTCCAATGTTTCTTGAAGACACTGTCAGGAGATTTGTCTCCTTTTCCTCATTAATTTATTTATTCATTCATTTTTATCAGTATAGATGTGTGGATATTTGTTTTATACTTCGAAATATAAATGTTATAATTTTAATATTTAATTTAATATCATTTTATTATAATTTTACTTATGTTGCTACTCATATTGTTCCAGCTTTGGCCATAGTAATCTCTTCCAAGTGATTCCTCTACTCTTTTTGGCATACTTCTCTGAGTGTTAGTTTTTTCTTTGTTTTTTAAAATTTTTTTTATTTCTGAGAAAGAGAAAATACATGTGCACATGAGCTAGGGAGAGGGGCAAAGGAAGAAAGAAAGAGGGAGAGGGAAAGAATTTTAAGCAGACTCCGTGCTCAATGTGGAGCCCGATGTGGGGCTCAATCCTATGACTCTGGGAATATGACCTGAGCCAAAATCAAGAGTCGGACACTCAACTTACTAAACCACCCAGGTGCCCCACTTTGTTTTTGTTTTTAATTACTTTTTTACTTTCTGGCACTACAAAATACTCTAGGCTCAGCTTGCGTATTTCTTGTCCCAGTCCTGTTATCCACCGTTTCTTCCAGGGATCCCTGGTTACTTTTATTAGAGAAAACTATTAGAAACCAAAGTCGGGGGCACCTGGGTGACTCAGTCGGTTAGGCGTCTGATGTTGGCTCAGGTCATGATCTCATGGTTTATGAGTTTGAGCCCTACATCAGGTTCTGTGCTAAGAGCTGGGAGCCTGGAGCCTGCTTCAGTTTCTGTCTCCTTCTCTCTCTCTCTGCCCCTTCCCTGCTTATGTTCTGTCTCTCTCTCTCAAAAATAAATAAGCATTAAAAAACAAAAAACAAACTCTGGCTACTAGGTATGATTGTTGCTGAGAAGGTATCATTTCTTTTAGGCCCCTCTCAGGTGACACAGCAAAGAGATATATACGTGTGTGTACTAATCTATGTATGTCCACCTGTCTGTAAGTACTTTTATATATATTCAGTTGTATCTGTATTAAGCTAATAGTGATTTCATACTGATGTTGCCAACTCTAATCCATTACCACATGGATCATTCTAGCCTTGAAAGATTAAAAAAAATTTTTAAGCAAAAGTATGAGGAATGGAATTTTAAAATGCTGTTAGGAATGTTCTAGTACAAATCTTTTAATACATGTTGCCTGCATTTCTTTTTAGTATAAACTTATGGGTGCAATTGCTGGGTATCTTTAACTTTAGTAGATAATGCCTATCAAGAACCCTGAAAAGTCTGAGATTTTATCCTACTTGCAAGCTAACAAGTTGACCTGGTATTGTTTAATTGATACTGGCAGAAGATACATACATGATGCCTGGACCAGAAACAGGCTTTAACAATCATGGCAAAAGTAGGGGCACCTGGGTGGCTCAGTCAGTTGGGTGTCCGACTTCAGCTTGGGTCATGATCTTGTGGTTCACAAGTTCGAGCCCCACATCAGGCTCTGTGCTGACAGCTCAAAGCCTAGAGCCTGCTTCTGATTCTGCGTCTCCTTCTCTCTCTGCTCCTCCCCTGCTCATGCTCTGTCTCTTAAATATAAGTAAACATTAAAAAATAAATTAAAAAATAAAAATCATGACAAAAGTAGTAGCCAAAGATTTAGGTTCCTGATGGTTTTCTTGGCTCCCAAATCCCATAATGGGTAGATGTGTTGGAATAACAGAAGTGTACCTAGATAGCCTCATGCAATTAATTGGTTACCTTAACAAAGAGAACACTTATTAATAAATGGTGACAAGCCTGCTCACTGCATTTTTCAGTGTTGCTCATGGCAGTTGAAAAATGACCTGGGTAGAGTCAGGGCCTTATATTCTTGGCATTTCAGAAATAACCTGCAGGGACACTGAGGGCCCATTGAAGACTACCCCAGCAGTGTCTAATTGTTAATAAAGTACAATATTCATGATAAAAAACCTCAGTAAAAGTAGGTTTAGAGGGAACATACCTCAACATAATCCAGGCCATATATGAAAAACTCATAGCTAACATCCTAGCTTCAAAGTGCCAAAGGACAGGCTGACTTTCTTGTTAGGGGCTAATGCAGCTGATGATTTGAAGTTGAAGCCAATGCTCATTTGCCATTCTGAAAATCTTAGTGCCTTTAAGAATTGTGCTAAATCTACTATGCTTGTAGTACTATGCTTGTACTATATATGGAACAACAAATCTGAGTGACAGCACATCTTTTTACAGCATGGTTTACTGAATATTTTAAACCTACTGTTGACATGTATACTCAGAAAAAAAAAGTCTTTTCAAAAGTCTTTCGTTGGGATCGCACCTGATCACCCAAGTGGTTTGAGATATACACTGAGATTAAAGCTGTTTTCTTGACTAGTGACACATTTTGTTGTGCAACCCATAGATCAAGGAGTGATTTCAACCTTCAAATCTTACTATGTGATAAATGTGTTTCATAAGGCAATAATTGCTGTAAATAGTGATTCTTCTGATGGATCTGGACAAAGTTGGTTGAAAAACTTCTGGAAAGGAGTCCCCATTGTAGATCCCATTAAGAACGTTCATGATTCTTGGAAAGCGATCAAAATATCTACATGAACCAGAGTTTGGAAGATGTTGATTCTTAC